CTAATAGAAATAGCACTTACACAGGTATCGAAAAAAAATTATCTCCATGACACTAAATTTTGCTTTATCGAGATAGGAATGAAAGATAGAAGATCTAATGTAGTACGAATCTACTCTTCCTTAGAGTTAAAACGAAAATTATTTTTTGGGTCTTGAACAATGTGGAAGTTTCGATTTTTATGATTAGAAATCACATTTTGAGAAATATGAATACAAAATTTTGAAGGCGAGTCTTTTAAGATTCATGAAAATAAAAATAGCCTCTTTCTTACATGGTTGAAACCTGATCAGTTCTTGACAAGCCAAATATATTTCGAAATGGAAGACTCGACTGAATTTTCCTATTATTAAAACTTAACTTCGATCTATTTTGGAAACATTGATCTTTTCACGGATAAATTTGAAAATACATATGCTAGATGTACTAAAATGTTTGCGAAATATTTTACTTCGCATCTATCTTGATTTCAGTCAATGATAAGCTCTTGAATTTTTTAATACGATGCGCCTTGCGAATCTCTGCACAAAAGCCAATGACAAATTGCTATAGAATTGTGTCGATAGTCTTTTCCATAGACAAAATAAAAATTCTACATAATAGTGCTACTTCCCGTCGTATTGAACATAATGAAAAATATTTGGAAGACGTTTTCGTCTTCGATATATCTGACCTTTAAAAGTAGTAAAATTTTAAACTTCAAAGATGCGCTATCAAAAATTTTGCATAAGCTTTATGTACGAATTCCTATTGCAAAGCAAAACATCTTTCCAAACATTTTTCTAGAATGCACAATACAATGACAAGTAGTAATCATGTGGACCTTTCATGATGAATATAGAGAAGAATATTAGTACAAATTAATAGGAAAATTTTTACCTTCTTTGTGAAGCTTTTCTTGCCGTATTCTTTAAAAAACTCAAGATTTTATTTTTGATTTAGGTCGAAATATATGTGAAATGAAAAATGTTGCAAATATTTTGGCACATTTAACAGATTAGTAAATCTAAAAGAAAGACCATACGGTAGTTGTGTAAACTTAAGAGCTGTTTGTAAGTTATACGATCACTTATGAGGATGAGCATCATTAACATAACCACCAAATCCCAAATATGTCTCCTAAAGAAACTTTCCTAGAAAAAGAAAATAATTTCATGACAACTGCTCTATTAATAAATGCTGCCGTGACAGTTGCTCTTCAAACTCAACCACTCCCATATAGAAATAGTGTCATTAATCAAAAAGTTACTCAAGCCACTTTCATGTCACTGGTCGTATTTGAATTACAAGTGCTGCATAAAATGTTAGTTTTCGTTGGAACGAGAAGATTTTTAAAAAATAAAAAAATTAATTCGTTTGCATCAAGTTTCAATTTTTCGACTTCACTGATTGACAACTGGAATGCAAGTTCAGTCATATCCAACACTAATATCGTATCAGAAATAGAAGCATTAAACTAAATGAAGATATCCAAAAACTACTAAAACTTTCTGGAATCTTTTAGAAAATCTCAAAAACTAAACATAGAATGCCAATAATACGTTTAGAATCGTTCTAAATAGTAAAGAATCTGTTTTTATGCAGATGAACAAGTTTACTATGGAATTAAAGTTTCTTGAATAATATATTGATATATGATTTTCTATACTAAATAATTTCTCAAAGCTACTGACCAACAAAAGTTGAAGTGATTAACTTCCACTTTTAAGTCGATATGGATGTGAATTTTTCTAATCTCGTCTTGGTTTGAAATAGTGTTTGCTGGCGAATATAAAATACAATATCTGAAATGGCATTTTTTCAAAAGCTAAAACATTTCGGGTTGAAGAAAGTTTGTGTTTCAAGATTGTACGTTGAATCACTGATCAAAATTATAGATGTGTAGAGTAAGCTTTTTTCGCACTATGTATCCTGATTAAGAAAATTTTTATACTTTTACTTTACCGTACTCTACAGCTTATTTTAGGGCATAAATAACCCGATGGGTCCTTAATTGAAATGTTAAAGATTCATAGATATTCTAGTCAAAGTTCGTTGTTGAAAATTTTTCATACGAAAAATATTTACTTTTATTGTTTCCATTCGAAAAGAAATTAATTTGAATAATTAGTATAAAAGAAGTTAGGAGAGTAATAAACAAACTATTTCTTAATATGAATATGGACCTAGTCAATTGAAGAATAAACTTATTCTTTAGTGGTTCTTTGTTCATATTCATCAATGAACTAATAGTCATTATATACCATCATATAATAATCTATCCATAAGGTGTAGCTAGATCGTGTTTCACTCTTCGGTACTTGTCTAACCTAATCACACTTCAAAATATTTAGAAATAAAATCTAAATATTTGGTCTAATTCATAGACAAATTCAATGGACTTGAAAATTTTGTTTCAGAATGTATCTTACAATCATCTAAATATCATTAATCTATAAAATATCTGAAAAAATAAAAATTTTTAAAATACAAGGTATACCTAAATTAAAAAAAAAACTTTCTATCAGTGTTATCGAGAACTTCTCTTGTGATCTCAATGAATTCATGTCAGTTATTTATTAGAAATGAAGAAAGGTTTTTCAACAACATTGGCATGAAGTCCTATAAATTTTATACATCCTGTATTATCCATCAATCATCTTCAGTCACTAATTCAACTCATGAAAAGAACTTTTATTTATGATCCGCAGGATACCAAACAGGATTTCGTGTGGAATATTCCATGGGATTGAATGGCACGAAATTTAAGACAAAAATTGTAAGATAAAACATGTTACAACCTTTTTTTGACGAGACTTTGTAAGAGATTTGGTTCTTTTTTTCGTTAACACTATACTGATTGTCGTATATAATTTGTTCTTGCAGTTTATGTTGTTTTTGAAATTTCTTTTCGAAATATTGAGTGATCTGTACAGAAGAATATTAATAAAAGAATCGAAACCGTTAGAAGAAACCGTCTAGTTCGAAAACTATAATTGTAATGAAAAAATGCAGCAATTCGTTCATACAATTTCTGGAAAAAGTTTTCATCCGTCTTGTTTTATTCGATCTTTTTGAAAAAGTTTTGTCGCGTACCGTCCCAAAGGACGTCCAATGTAGAGATCCGATACTAAAAACGATTGCGAATGTACGACTACATGCTTTGCAAGTTTATTTAGTTGAAGATAACAAAAATAGGTAGAATTGACTATGAAACACGAGAAAAAAAAACGAGCGGCCGGAATAAAAAATAAATTGACATAACTATACGAAAATGAATCATAAGAAAAAAATATTTTATTTGTCCTTATTTCGTAGTATTTATTGATTTTATCTTATATGCTTATTTTTATTCAATCAAATGTATACAAAGAGACATGATCAGAATCGCATGTAACAATAAACGTATCTATTGATAAAACAGTGACGACAATAATAACCATAGTAGATATTATATAATAATCATTATTATTATTATTAATGTATTACTCTAGAGTCTGTGAACCTATTATTCTATTTTTCGTAGCTATATGTCAGTGAGAAATGTTTAAAAAAAACGGAAGAGAAGGCGATCGTTAAATTTATAGAAAGGTGTGCTATCCATAAGGAATGCGTTTCGTAATTTGTTGGATGCCTTCATATTTGACAATAATACATTTTTTATTTGAAGGAATGCGTTTTTTGTCGTTCCTTTCTATTATACAATGCTTTTCTCTTGGTCTAAAATCGCTCCTGATCTGAGTAAAAAACATTCAAAACGGTTCTATCAATCGTGAGAACGGTTCTGTTGCCGTTCTTCTTTGAAAAGATAAGAAACGAATTCTTTGAAATGACATGGCTTTATTTGATATTCCATAGAGAATCGCTCAAAAATGGATTCGTCAAGTTGATAAATCAGTTCCAGGTGATCCAACATCATTCTTAGAAAGAAAAAATATTTACTATCTTTTCACTAAATACCTGATTGTTTTTCGTAAATTCGAAAGTCAAATTTAGAATTATAGAATGTGTTCTTGTCTGTTTCATAAGCTCACCAGAGAATGTTTCCAACTATTAAATAGCTTTCTTGATCAAGTATATGCTTAAACGATAGACCTTAATAAACTATTAACTATCCTACAAGGATTTAGTTTTCCAAGTCCACTGACTAGAGATATATGATTATGACTATTAGTAGTTTTGCTGTACTACTGTATTAAAATATTCGATAACTTGTGACTAAATTAATCAGTACTGAGTTCTTTAGCACTGATATAAATATAAGCCGGATCGGAATATGTTTAGTCAAGATGTCGAATCTATTAGAATAGTAGTACAGCCAAATTAGTAATAGTAATAATCGTATGCCTACTCCGGAGACCTCGAAAACAAAAACCTCGTAGGTTAGTCAATAGATTATTAAGGTCTATCATCTAAGCATATACTCGATGGAAAAGCGATTTGACAGTTGGGAACGTTCCCTCGACAGCAGCACAAAAGTTTCAATCACGGAATTCTTGCAAGAGAATGAAACACATATTTATTAGCAACTCTTCGGTCACAGTACATGTCTATTCACACCCAGGTCATCTATACGTAGAACACCTTTAACCTGTTGAAAACTACTCATTTTCCATTAGTGCATAAGTTTTATGTTCTTATACTTTTGAAGTCAACTTCAACTATTATATATGTAAACAAATAAATCCCCATGTAACATCACAAGATGGTCTCTATCATAGCTATGATTTGTGAAAACTAATAGGAAACGTAACTTTGAACAACTTGAATAGTTATTTCAAAAGATGATATTCTTCGTTCAATGGCCAATCAATTTCCTCATCTAATCATATAATCAGTTACATATACAAAAAAAAAAAGATATGCAAACAAAAAAAAAAGAAAAAGGAAAAAAACATCACTTAAGAAAAAACAGTAACAAAAAAGGTACAAATAGAAAACAAAACAAGCAAATGCATGGTCATATTTGACCAGAAGCCAATTAACATAAAGAAAATAACTATATACAAGAGAATATTAAAGTTTATGCAAACCACATTGTGTTTTCAATTGATGGATTAAAATCGATTTTTGTTGTTTGAACGTCATCTAAAGTGACGATCACATTTTCATCCAAAACTGCTTCTTCTAAATCCGAACTAAAATAATAAAAAAATTCTTTTTTAAATATCAAATTGAAAATAGAAAAACTTACGTAGCAATACTTCGTTGTTCATTTGCCATTTGACCTTCATAATCAAGATTAAGACCACGTGAAACACAAAGTGTTGCATAATGAACAGGTGCTGGAACAGATACTGATTTTGTACATCGTACATCAGTATGACATAAATAATAACTATTAATATTTAAAAAAAATAATTTCATTTTCAATATATATAAATTTAAATTCTTACGTCAATTGTTGAATATCATCTGATGTAAAACCAATTTCATCATATAAAACTTGATAAAGTACTGGTCTTGATGTACCCTGTATAGCTGCATGAGAATTAAGATAAAAATCAAAACCATTGGGTGAAACAATATCGGTATCAATAACTGTTCCTAAAATTATAAAGACAAAATAAATATAAATAAAAAACAAAAATTATTTCGTTTTACCTGGTTGAATATTATTTGTTTGATTTGATTTTTTATCCCAAACAAAAAAACGCGTATTATGACGTTTTTTAACAACAACAAAACAAATTTGAGGTAATTGATTATGACCGTATAATTCTATAGAAAATAGAATTATAGTTTATTTTTTATTTTTAAATTATTATTTAAAAACACCCATTTACCTTTACATGCTCGTTGAATAGCTCGTAATTCATTATCAAGTACTTTTTGAAATGATCCATCATCGACACCAGCTCGATAAAAAACAAGTTTATTTGGTAAACGTGAATTATGATTAGAAAATTCACGTAATAATTCACCAACAAGTATATGAAGATCTTTTACTATTTCAAGAGCGATTTTTCCTTTTGGTGAAAATTGTTGTACAACACGACCAGCATATTGTGTACCTATGAAAAAGAACAACAAAAAAAATTCTATGTAATGGAAAAATAATAAAACGAAAAAAAAAACAAACTTGTTGAATCTTTTGATCCAATAATAGCAGCAATTGATGGTCTTTCACGTGAACATGTTATATGAGTACAATCAATACCAAAAAACATAAATACATCTGAACGAGCTGATGGTGATGTTAATGCACGCATTAATGATACAAGTTGATTTACACCACCTAATTTTGCATTGAATTTTTGTACCAAATTCTTTTCGAAATTTATTTATTTTAAGTAAAAAAAACATCAGACAAAAAAAAACACATACTTGAATATACATATCCATTTTACGATTATCACTATTTGACATAAGTCGATCAAAACGGGTACATTGGGTTACCATACCTAAACAAAAAATAATTTTTAATAATAAATAGTCACCTAGTCTAATCATCATGAACAATCCATTAAACAATATTAAAATTCAACAATTCAGACAAGATTACAGCCTGTCGGATCCAAACCAATAGGCTCTAGACAAGCCAACGAATTTGAATAAGAAACATCTGAATGAATGAGTTATTCATTTTTCGATTCATTCTCTACCCCTTTGAATTCACAATTATTTCGTCATGAACTCATTGAGAACTAATCACATCTTAGACACTAAATTGCCTTTTCAGCTGATAACATGTAACTGCAGGGATATTATAATGTCGTCCGATTGGAGAGGCTGAGCTTTCTTTAAGAAAATTCATCAATAAAAAAAAACAGTAAAACACTAGAACTCTGCTAGAGAAAAACAAAAATTTTTCAACATTAGCGGGTAAATATCCTCGCTTGATATACTCCTGCTGAAATAAAATACCGATCCCTATCATCAGACCAGAAACTTTATAATATTTTCTATTAGATCATTGAATAACGTCGTATACAAGTCGTATCCAACAAAATGGTATAAATCTTTTTTTGGGCAACATTATTTTCATAAGTGTTCGTCTAAATTTTTGAATTGAGCCAGTCAATTCTTCATACATACGTATAAATACAAGAAAATAATGAACGAGAATGAAAAGTCTTACCAATTTTAACATTTCCAAAAAATTTAATAGCATGATAAATGTCATCACCAACTTGATTGAGGATATAAATAATAACTTCGCATCCGAGCATTTTAAGTTCATTCATTCGAGCTAATAATGTTTGTGGTACAGCTGCATCAGATTTTTCAATAGGTGATGAATTAAATATAATACCATATTTTGACATAGCCTTTCATTGAAAACAAAAAAAAATTTTCCTTTTATTTTATAAATTAACAAAATCAATTGATAAAAACCTGTGGAATTTTACTAGCAAAATCTCTTGCTAAACGAATTTGTCGATTATCAGGTTCACGTTGACTAACAAGAATAACAGCCCATGTACGTATTTCACGTGCTTTATTAAAACGATTATTTAACCACCATTTCCCAATTTGTACTCGTTCAACAACATCACGTTGATCACCATGTAATGATTTATATTTTATTTCTGGTGATGGTAAAATTCTTGCAGGTATCATAATCATTTCATTAACATCAACATTAATACCAAATTTTTCAAGATATGAATCATTATTAAAATGACGTTCATCAGCAACACGTCGAATCATTCCATAACGTTCACCAGGACGAACAACTGTTTTTTTAGTTACTTTAGCACGTTGATCAGTTGTTAATGGTTTTAAACTTCGTTGCCATTCATCAACAGTAACTAATTCCATTGGTAAAAAATGTGATTGATTTTTAACAGCTGGATTATATAATTCAACAACAGGTAAATGTGGATGACGTAAACGAATATTCCATTTATCATTAAAATAATCAGCAACTGTTATTTGTTCACCTTGATTTTTAACAAATTTATGTTCATCTGCTGGATGACCAAAAGATTTTAAACGATATCGACGAATTTGATTTGTATGTGATGTTACAAACCAAAGTGATTTTAAAATTTTTCGAACAAGTAATGGATGATCTTTTGCTGGAATACCTAATAGAATAAAAATAATAGATTTTCATTTAAAATATTTATAATGATAATCATTAAAGAATTCAACTAGAGAACACAATCAAGCTCTTAGGAAGTTTTTCTTCTCTTTATCTATCTTCACTATTGATATGGAAATAATTATTTGAATTTATGGAAAAATCTCGAAATGATAAGTACTTGAAGTTATTGTATTGGATTGGTGATTCTTGTTGTTTGTAAAAAATCAACCTCTTAGATAATAATATCTACAATTAGTAGAAGGAAACAACATGGTTTTTCCTCCTTGTTCAATTCTTTTGTTTTATGCAAGACAAATTTTTTACAAAATAGAAATCAAAACCGCAAAAATGTTAAATATTCAACATATTTTTTCATAAAATAATATTAATTTAGTATTTGACGTTGAATATAAAAACCAAAATGACACCTTACGAACATTGTAATAAGGTACAATGAAAAGCTAATTTACAAGAATTTCTTTTTTTATTCGTTTGATTTTCTTCACGAAAAAACGAAGAAAAAATTTCAAAAATGACCTCACTCAAATAGTGTATTACATATGTTAATTGTGTTTTCTTAAGAAATATTTATGAAAATCGAAAGATTTTCTTTTCCATCATCTCATTCTTAATTTCTTATCTAACTATGAAACATATCGCCAATATGTTTATATTTATCAGTCTTATTTTAATTTCTAATAATGTTTTATAATAATAGATTTTTGTTTGATTAAAACTCACCATGTTTTCGAATATCATTATTTAAATAACAAGAAAGAAATTCAACTAAATTATAATTTTGATAAAAACAGCAAAATGTATTATTAATATTCAATGTAGGACCACGTTCTCCAAGTACAATAGCTTGGTAAAATCCTGATGCTAAACCACGACCATCACCTAAACAAAACAAAATGTTAAAAAATTCAATAAAATTTGTTCGTTTCTTTTTTGTTTTTGTTTACCAAGATCATCTAATCGTTGATTTTTTAGATAAGATTGATTTTTAATAGTTATCATATCTGATCTTTGTGTTTGTTTGAATAATGTTTCAAGTATTCGAACAGGATCATGTGGTCGAATAGAAATTTTTTTTTGAATAAAATCAAATATATTTTTTAATTCATAAGTTTTCACAAGATTAATAATTAAAAAACGAAATTTATTTGTTCGTTCTGTTTTTTTATGTACTATTTCACATTGATATTCTTTTTTAAAATTAATTGTTAAATTTTCAATAGCATATAAATTTTTTCCTTCATCATACCATACAAGTGGAAAACGTTCTTGTTCAAGAATTTTTTTAAGAACTTGTAAACGTTCATCTTTTTTACATGACCGCCATGAACCATCACGCATTAATAGTTCAACATCAACATCAAATTGATATAAAACTATTTCATTTGTTGATTTAGAAAAATTTATTCGAAAATGATTAGTATAAAGTTCAATTTGTTGACCAGCTTAAATCGAAAAAAAAACAATATTTAATAAAACTAAAATGAAAATAAAAATAAAATACCATGTCCTGATTGTGTTGGTCTTTTAATAATTGTTGTTATTTGTGAATTTGGTACAGCTGAGCGAATTGTTGGACGAACAAATGAACGTGAACGTTTTTTTGAATCAATTCCATTTTCAGATGGAGCCTTTGGTACAACACCATATGAACTATTTTCAATTTGTCCATTATGAGATGGTTTTTCATTGATTATTCCAGTTGAAGAACATGCACGACGTTGGGAATAATCTGTTGAAATTTGATCAATACGACTTGTACGAGCTAAAATATTTTTTTAATATAAGCTTTTCTCTTCATTTTTACTTATAAACAACTTACCACGCTTCGAAGAATGATAATCTTCATCATAATTATCTATTAAGAGAATAAAAGATAAATATTTGATTAATTAAAATAAATATTGAAATACCATCTGAATGATCTCGACCCTTATTCGATGACATTTATCGTAAATATAAAAGTTATTATTATATAAAACTAAAAATATAATCAAAGAATATCTATTAGATTAGAAACATTCGTCCGTCTCTGACTTGAAAAAAAAAGAAATGTAAGCTAGATCGTCTATCGATTTAAATGAACGACTATCTATTATTTGACCTATATATGAATGTCCAAGACGGACGAGTGAATGAATAGAAAATGCATCTACATAGAAGAAAAAATAATGAAAATCGGCGACGTAGAACAATACTAAGAGAAACTCTCCTGCACTACTATGTACATGTAAAACATAAAATGGGTAAAAATAAAAGATTGTCGTGTTACACTATATGGACGATTTAATCTCTCTTTCTCTTTTGTCTCTTTCTCTATATTTCGATAAAGGGTATATTGGCCTAGTCAATGAACAACAAAAGCCATTTAGAACAAAACAAATAAACAATCGATAGATATTAGAATAGATAAAGTCAATGGATCATTGTGACGAATAATGGTAATCTTTGGATATCATAATAAAGAAAACAAATCATATTTCGTATGAAGTTTTGTGCTAAGTTAAATATCTAAATATAATCTATCTTTCAATTATTTAGAATTATCTTTGAAATAACTTAATAGAATAATCATAATCTTCTAGAGAATCTAGACAATATAGTAACAAAACTAAATACTAAACAATTGATGTATTTTTTTTTGTATAAGATTTGTTGAAAAATATTATTAATGTTTTCTTTTCTAATTGAAATATTAAAATTAATGTAAAAATTGTATATTTATTTGATAATAAACAAGATCTTCTCTTAGTCTATTAATTCATTGTGCATTTTGATTCAATAGGCTCTATCGAATTTTCATTTATCAGGTTTTCTACATTGAATATATGTAGTAAAATTAAACGTGGTGTTTCTCACTATTAAAAAGTATTTCATTATTTGATATTATATCATATCAGAAGATGAATCATCTGCTTAGTCAATATGACAAGTGCACGAGTTCGAATAAGAAAAATTTTAATCTCAAGAGTTCTATCTTTCATTGATCAACCATAAACAACAACAATCAATTGTTCTTATATGATCGTTAAATAATCATGTCAAAGTCTTTCAAATAATATACTACTGGATAATATATTCTCTTGAAATAATAAAAATATAAACATGAGAATGCAAAGATAAACTTTTCAGAATTGGCCAACATTATATTTTATTAAAAAAAGAATGAAAAACATTCTTATATGAATCTGATAACACAATATAAACTGATTTGACTATCACGCATTTGTTATGCACGACTTTTTATTAATTAAATAAGTCTTTTAGAAATTTTATCAATCATTACAAGTTGTTGTTTTTTTCTCTTATTCTTTGTTCAAACTAGATTTTTTGACTGTGTAAAACTTGAAAATTGTTCTCCGTGTACTTTTTTCCTTCAATATTCTTCATAGACATTGAATGAGCCAAACGTCACTGATTTTACCTTCAAGTTGTTGACCTCAAACTCGATTATTAAATAATTTATCAATAGTTCAAAATATAATTATTGTTTTTATTCCTTGTTTTTTTTTTCGTTCTGTACGTGATACTTTAGTATATTTACCCATTTTAATCTGGTGACTAATTATATAGCTGGACTGAATATGAAATCAATAGATCATGACAAGCGTAGAATAAACGAATGAGACAAATAATTATTGGTTTCTACTAAGCTATTTTTTTTCAATATAAAATATTTCTAGGTAGTACGGAATTAAAAGATCTTGTTAAAAAAAATTATGTTGATTTATTGCAAAAAATTCATTTGCACATTCTGATGTCTGTATTTTTATTATTACAAGAGAAGATGTTATTGGATAATATGTAATTTGAAAGGTTGGCACAATTATTTACGGCCCATATAAAAACATTTGGTTACGAGCATGAAAGTTTCACCTTTATACTTTAGAAATCCGCAAGCACGAAAAAGTACGAGCAAAATGTTTTGATATTGCGGTAATCAAAAGAGAACGGAAAAAGTATATATATAGACATTTATCTTCATTCCCTACACGTGTCAAGTTATTCTCTTTGTGTTTTATTGAAGCTTTGAAGAAAAAAAATAACGAACACAATTGTTATTGCATCTTTGCATCGCATCTATCTTAGCTTATTAAACAAATCCATTGAAACATGGCTCGAAAACTTCAGTGTTTAGCAATTATCAGTAGTGTTTTAATAGTTCTCTTTGCATATTTATATCATGTACCAAATAGCGAAGGTGTTCCACAAATGAATCGTATTCGTCTACTTAGTGCTTCAATGAAAATAATAAGTTTTATTGTAAGTACCGTCACTTAAAATTGTCTTTTATTCTTGGTTTTTTTTTTTCATTTTTGTTTGTTTGTTTATATAGGGTAAAATATCTGAAACATTTGGCTTTGCTACTGCGTGGCATATTCAACGAACTAGTGGTCATGTCTTAAAGAAACTCAAACCAGCTGAAGTTAATGTTAACTTAAAAGTATTATGACAAAATTTTATTTTTCATCTTTTTTTTTAAGAAGATTATTCATATAGATTGAAGATACAACAATTGAAGGTGTACCTGTACGTATTTATTCTCCATTAGATTTAAATGATGATAAAACCAAACGTCTTCCAGCGATTATCTTTTATCATGGAGGAGCGTTTTATATGGGTTCAGTTGGTGAGTGTGCTTTGATTGATCTTAAATTTCAATTTCTTTCTATAATTTATTATTTTAGAAACGCATCATCCAATTACACGTCGATTAGCTCTTCAAACTGGTTTTATTGTTATTTCTGTTGAGTAAATTTATATTTAGATTTATCTAAATGTAAAATGACTTTTCGACTTCTTATCTAAAGATATCGTCTTGCACCTGAACATTCTTTTCCAGCTGGACTTGATGATTGTATTAAAGTAACTCAATATGTTCTTCATCCAAATAATGCAGAAAAATTAAGTATAGATTCAAAACGTGTTGCTATTTCAGGCGATTCAGCTGGTATGTTATTATTTTTTGTTTTGTATTTTGAAAATCTATTTTATAACTTTTATAATTATTATATTAATTAGGTGGTAATTTAGCTGCTGTTATTTCAATGAGATTTGCTAATAATTCAAAGAGTATTATGATGCCTCGTGTTCAAGTATTGATATATCCTGTTGTTCAATTCTTTGATTTTATGCTTCCTTCATATCTAACACCAGCTTTACACATTTTTCATTTTGGACGAGGTGGTCTAGTTCTTGAATTTTATATAAACAAAAGTATAAGTGCTGATGTACTCGTTAATAATCATACCAGTATTGAACAAAAAAAACAATATCGTCGATTTGTTGATTGGTCATTTATTCCAAAGGAATATCGAAAAGTATACAAAGAATCCATAACTGATAATATAGATGGCAATCCAAAACTTATAGAAAATGCTAAACAAGTATTACATCCGGATGTATCACCATTGTTAGTTGATGATGATGAATTAGCTAAATTACCATCAACTTATATACTTACTGTTGATCATGATCGACTAAGAGATGAAGGTTTTATATATGCAGCTCGTTTGAAAGCTAGTGGAGTTAACGTAGTACATCGCCATTTTGACAATACTTTTCATGGATCATTAACTTTCCTAGAAGGATTATTTGAGTTGGATATTGCTCATGAAATGCTCGCTGATATTGTTCAATATCTCAAACAAAATCTTTGAACATTTAATTTTACTTTTTATTGATTATTTAATTTATTTGTCAGTAAATTTTATTCTTTGTGATTTTGAAATAAAATTAAACTAAAGATTAAATCAAGAAAAAATATAAATTTTTATTATAATAATTCTGGTCAACATCACATGATTAAAGATCAGATTTAATTCGAAATTTAATACGTAGTCGACCACATATTGGAAGAATAGAATTATATAAAGTGAACCATCAATAATACAGTAAAATAAGATATTGAAACATCTCAATTCATATTTAGGCTTGCGGGCAGAGTTTATGTAAACCTTTTCTCTTTCATAAAGATAATATAAACAAATACTATTATTCAGTATTAATATTCACTTTACGAAATATACTTGTTCTTTTGTCAAACAAGAAAAATATATATTAAACGTTCTATAGGTAATGTTCACTGTTCACCTAAAATAATAACAAAAAAAATCAAAACCTACTTTATGAATGCTATTGCATTTAATACCCATAGAACAATTTTTTGGCATCAATTAAGCTTAAAGTCAATAGTAAGAGCATTTCGAATTTTCACTCATGAAACACTCGTTTTCATAAGAAATTTAGTAAATCGATGCAACAAGTTCATTATCTAACGTGAATTTCAGCATTGAAAAGAATGAATTTTGAAAAATTCTTTTTTGTTCATCAATGTAGTATTTAATGTGCCTCGTACCAGATCACCTGTGAGTGTGAAATTTTGACCTTTAATTTTTTAAAACTTGATAACAGACATACACTGAAATATTTTGTGTTTGCAAGAGATCTTCTCACCTCTAGATATAAATCGTAACTACCCGTTTGTAGAAAAAAATCTATCAAATAATATTTAAAGCAAGCCACTCGAGCGTCATAATCAGATTTAATCTGAACAAATTCAGTCGTAACTAGTTGGCATAGAAGAGCAAAGATTGAATGTATTATAATAATGTGTTCTTGAACAGTTGAAATAGATGAAAGAGAAAGATTATATCGGTACTTGTTCTAGTAATTCGAATTTTTCTACATTTATGTTTTGCATTGTTGAAAAAGACATTGATAAACTGATAGTATACGACATATATATATTCAGGATGTGGGTCGGGATGTCAGTTTGTGCGTGCAGTTTTGAATGTGGATGCGGAGATGCGTGAAGATATGCGTGGATTTACTTGTAGTTTCGGATCTGCATATTGGTGTGCCTTTGAATTGGGTGTGGATATGTGTCTTACTTTCTCTCGCATGCATATCTACATTCATACCCACACTCTCGAAAACATTTTATTCTGCTAATCTTAAGCCTACTAATTATATAATTGAATTGTCTCTTATCGAAATAATTACTGTTTTGATCTATTACTTCAGTAGTATACGAGTGTGCGCCACCTTTCGTTTTCCTATTCTTAATGACTGAAACAGATCAACCAATAGATATTTTTCTTTTTCTCTTAAATAAAGATACAATTCAATTGTTCCAGCGAGCATGCTGTTGATTTGGAGCAGTGTTTCTATTAGTAGATGTATCAATCAGACGCAATGTGTACAGAATACCTGTTGCTTCTTATGTACATGCTGTTTTAGATGTTCTCCGAAGAATAGAGTATACATGGTACACTATATGGAAGAAATTTTTACATTTTGATTGTAGAATCTCAAAAGGTGTATTCAGTGTTAAACTAAAGATTAAATTTATACAACAATGACACTCATATAAGCTCAATCATCAATGAATACTTTATTACGTCAATTAGTGGTATTTTCTTATAAACATATTACATGATGAAATCGTACGTGTATTTATTATTCATTTTTCTTTCTAAGTATCAAACATGGCTCGAAAACTTCAACGTTTAGCAATTATCAGTAGTGTTTTAATAGTTCCTTTTGCATATTTATATCATATACCAAATAACAAAGGTATTTCACAAATGAATCGTATTCGTCTACTTAGAGCTGCAGCGAAAATTACCAGTTTTGTTGTAAATACACTCGTCTAAATTATTTTTTCTTCTTGGTATTTTTATTTTTTGTATGTTTATATAAAGTGAAATATCTGAAAGATTTGGTTTTGCTCCTACATGGCGTATTCAACGAAATATTGGTCTCATCATAAAAAGAATTAAAACTAGATGAAGTCAATGTTAACTTAAAAGTATTATAAAAAGTTTTATTTTTCATTTTTTTTTCAAGAATATTTTTCATATAGATTGAAGATACAACAATTGAAGGTGTATCTCTACGTATTTATTCTTCATTAAATTTAAATGATGATAAAACCAAACATCTTCCAGCGGTTATTTTTTATCATGAAGAAGCGTATTATATAGATTCAGTTGGTGAGTATGCTTGATTTATTTTAAATATAGTTTCCTTGTTTTCATGATCCAAAATTTTTATTTATCATTTTGAATTTTTTATGACCATTGTGTACAGTGTGAACTAGTATCTATCTATTGAGTGCATTGTGGGATTGAAAATTCATCTTTAAAAGTTAAAAAATTTGAGAAGAAATCAAATTTACGTAACACAAGTAAAGAACATTAGATTGTTTTACGTCTTTCTTCAACCAACTTTATCATGAAAACAGGTATAAAAATATCTCCGTTTCTTCAGTCACATTTGTCCAATCGAGTCCTAATTTTTTTGCACATGTACCATACACTGTTTGAGGTCGGTAGTCTTTTTTGTTTCAAAAAACATTGTTATATTGATGTTTGGTAGCTCACACAAAAAAACTTTATTTAGAAAAAAAACATCCGTTTTTTAAAGGTACTTTCAATATTTTGAATTTTTTATTCGAAGAACCAAAATAAAGAGAAACCAAAACACAATATCCATCACAAACAGTATCTAATTCTTGTCAGGCCCGCAACTTTTCAAATTTTCTGATGAGCTGTTCTTGAGAAAATCCGGCAAAAGGGAGGGGATGGAGTACCTTTAAGTTAAATTTCTTTGTACAATTTATTATTTTAGAAATTCATCATCCAATTACACGTCGATTAGCTCTTCAAACTGGTTTTATTGTTATTTCTGTTGAGTAAATTTATATTTAGATTTATCTAAATGTAAAATGACTTTTCGACTTCTTATCTAAAGATATCGTCTTGCACCTGAACATTCTTTTCCAGCTGGACTTGATGATTGTATTAAAGTAACTCAATATGTTCTTGATTCAAATAATGCAGAAAAATTACGTATAGATTCAAAATGTGTTGCTATTTCAGGCGATTTAGCTGCTGTTATTTCAATGAGATTTACTAATAATTCAAAGAGTATTATGATGCCTCGTGTTCAAGTATTGATATATCCTGTTGTTCAATTTTTCGATTTTGTGCTTTCTTCATATTGAACAGCTTTACGCCTTTTTTCATTTTGGAAGAGCTGGTGCAGCACTTGAATTTTATTTCAACAAAAATCTAAGTGATGATGTATTGGTTAATAATCATACCATTATTGAACAAAAGAAATAATATCGTTGATTTGTTGATTGGTCATTAATGCCAAAGGAATATTGAAAAGTATACAAAGAATCCATAACTGATAATATGGATGACTATCCGAAACTTATGGAAAATGAAAAGCAATTATTACATTCAGATATATCATTATTATTAGTTGATAATGAAGATTTGGCTAAATTACCATAAACTTATATACTTACTGTTGGTCATGATCGAGTGCGAGATGATGGTTTTATATATGCAACTTATTTAAAATCTAGTGAAGTTAACGTATTTGATTGTTATTTTGAAAATAGTTTTCATGAATCCTTTGTTTTCTTAGAAGATTCATTTTGAATTAGATATTGCTCACGAAATGCTCGACCATATTGTTCAATATCTCAAACAAAATCTTTAAACATTTAACTTTGCTATTTATTTATTATTGAAAGTATTATCAAGAAATTTTATATTTTATAATTTTGAAATAAAATTAAACAAAGTTTTTTATTGTCATCATTATGATTAACACAATATCATATGAAAATCAACTTTGATTCGAAACTCGATAAATACTTGATCACATATAAGGAAATAAGAACTATACAAGAGGAGCAATCAATGACGCTATAGAAAAAAGTTAAACTACTCAGTTTCGATCAATAAATAGGTTTTAACCTCACGAACTAAATTTTACCTGTTGTCAAGAAAGAAAAATGCTTGTGGAGGATTCTCATTGGTAATTTCCAGTTGTCCTCTAAAATAATAACAAGAAGAAATGAAAACAATTTTTATCAAATGACAAGGCAGTGATAAGCGTAGAATAACTATTTTTTAGAAATAATTAATTTTAACGTGAACGGTAACAATATTTCGAATTTTCACTCATGGAACACTCAGTTTCGCAAGGACGTTGTGAATCGATATCACAAGTTCATTATCTACCATGAATTTCAGTATTTAAAAGAATTAATTTAAAAACGTTCTTCTATGTTCATCAATTTATTAACACTCATAAAAATTATTTTGATGTCTTCTTATTAGTTTCTTAAGTGATCGTTGAAAATTATCTATAGATCAATAATAATACTAAATAGTAAGATTTGTTTATATTATCTCTATGGAAGAGAAGAAGTTTTGAATAAATTTCTATGACTAACCATAAAATCATTTCATTTGATTGAATGAAGCATAAACATTTTAATTCTGTGTCATCGTGTTATTGATAGTCAACATAGTACTTCATCTATGTATATAATATTGAGTGTGTATTGTAATGTATTTTTGTTTGAAAGGCATCTCTTGATCTAGATATAAATCATAACTACTAGTTTCGAGAAAAAAATATATCAAATAATATTTAAAGCAAATAATTCGAGCATTATGATCAGATTCAGTCGGAACAAATTCAGTCATAACTACTTAGTTAACATAGAATAACAAAGATTGAATTCATTATAACAATGTCTTATACATGCATTTTTAATGTAGTACGATCTTGTGGTAACTGTCTTCGAGTCAGGGTCGATATATAAATAATGAGAATAATGATTGCATTTTTATTAACGTACAGCTATGTGAAAGAGAATAAAAGAAACAAATATATGATGATGGACAGCATGATGTTAATGAATAGTTGAAATAGATGAAAGACAAAGATTATAACGGCATTGATTTTAGCAATTTAACTTTTTATGCATCTATGTTTCGTATAGTTGAAAAAGAAATTAATAAACTAATAGTATATGACATATATGTAGTTGTTGCTTTAGGGTGTAGTTTGTTTTTGTATCTGTTCATCATCACTCGTTTATATTTTAATTTATCCTTCTAGATTGACTAGTCTGTACGCTCGACAGTTGCTCTATCGAAAAATAAAATAATGTAAAAGAATTTGTTGTACAAAATAAAATAAAAAAAGACGAAGGTCGGAATATTCTTTGATTACATAAATAATGATTAGCTAGACATTTATTCGTAAATTATCATCGTTTGACTAGTTTTTCTTTCCCTATACTAATAATCAATGTTTTGCTTGAATATTTATTTTTCGAAAAACAAAAAAGTGATGAAAATTTTTTTCATTAAATTTTTTGTTCTGATTAGACACTAGCACAACCTTTAAAAGACTCATGTTTTCTATGTATATGTCTGAAATATAAGATTTTTAAAGGACATGAATTTTACGTAATTTTAGTAAAACTACTTTTTTTTTTTCGTAGTAAACATATAGAAGTTATGCTCTTTAAAAATCTTATATCAGCCACAATACATTGGGAACTAGTGTCCTTTGGAGTTTGAGCTAATCTAGTAGCTTCCTTCTTTTGGAGTAATGTATGAACTTCGAACATTGTAAGAATCTGGATGATTCCCTCGCTCTCCAAATTTTCCTAGAAAAAAACCTGAATCCCCAGTATTTCAAGTAGGAGTCAAAGAGATATTTCGGTCAAAGCTATTTTCCATCTAGTATGTGCCCATCTAATCAACACAAAAATTTTTATAAAAAGAAACTTTTTCGTAAAAGAGATTTGATATCTGTAGATTGTATCCTTGTGATAATTTTCAATGCCTTACAAAAAATGTTTATTTATTCAAGGATAACGTTCATAGATTTTATCAAGAGTAGTAATCTGAAATAATTTATGTATAAAATAACACAATACAAATTTTGCATGTCTCTACGATTTTTATTTATTTAATTTTATGCGATATGCTCATTAGAGATTAACTATTTTTGAATACAGTAACACTTTTTTCTGAATCACATAAAAAGAAATAATAAATAAATAAAAGTTCGAATATAAATCATTTATATTTAAATCCGCCAATCGATTTGACTTTCATCAGGGGATGGACTTGCTGATCTATTTCCTGATAAATAATTTTGTTCATGGTGAAATGTTGGATGTTGTATTAATTGTTGTTGTCCAGCAGCACTCATTTGTTCATATGCTTGAGGATCAATTTTAACAACCGGTAAACGAACAAGTTCAACTTCAATAACTGCACGTGGTTTGGAATAGGAAACAATTATATTATGTGGAGGTGGTGGTGTTTGAAGAGCTTCACGCGGTAAGGAATGCTTAATAACTCGTTTTGGTGCAGGTTTATAAGGTAACCATTGTTCAACAATAATAGGACCTTTAATAGAAATAAATAAATTTAATTTGAAAAATAAAAATAAAAACATACGTGGCTTAGGTGGTAGATCAGGATAACGATGAATGATTATCTAAGAAAGAATTAAAAATAATTTTCTTTTTTTGTTTAGAATAAAACAAAAAAATATTAACTTGTGGTGGTGGTTGTTTTGGTGGAGGAATATATTTATTGTAAATAATCGGTTGACTTGGTTCAGGTGGTGGAGGTGGTGGTGGTTGAGTTTTAATAGTTATTGGTGGCGGAGTTTGAGGTTCACGTTGACCAACAACATGAACATGAATCGGTGGTTTTTGCATGTGTGGTCTGATTAAAACTTCTTGAACTTGAATTTCCATCGGTTGTGGAGTTGGTGGTTGTAATTGACGTATATAAACTTTTTGTTTATATACTTGTTCACCACTTTCGCGTTCTTCATGAATTGGATTTGGATCCAGATTTAATTCTGTCATTGAATCCTCTAAACCATTTGACTACAGAAAAAAAAAAAAAAAAAAGATAAATTTAATTTCAAAACTAAAAAGAAAAGAAAATTTTTTCCTTACTTGTTGTGTTGATGAAGGATTTCTAAGTTCATCATCACTGCTTGGACTTTGTCCACCTGATCGTTGTGCATTAGTTCTACCTTTAGCTTCACTATTAGATGGATATGGTCGAAAAGCTGAGATATTTTCGTAACCTGAATCAATGGTACTAGGTTTTGTGCTAATTTCCACTCGAGTTTGTGTTAAATCAATTTCTTCTCCAGTATTTTTTCCATGTTTAGTTAATACATCTGTAACATAATTTGTAATTGACTTTTTTTTAGTTGTTTTTTGGGATGATCGTCTTTGTGAATCTTCTAAAGATGATGACGGTTCATCGTAGAAATCCGATGATGAAAGATCAGCAGTAGTGGCCTTTTTGGCCATTATTTTGTAATAAATATTCTGAAGGTGAGTAGTCGCTGTTTGTTTACTTACAATTATGAGAATAAAGATGTGTACAATTATATGTATTAGTCCTTGTTATGTTTAAATGTAAGCAACCAATCGTAGAAACAGTGACACGTTGCTTTTTTTACCTTCGAATCATTGTCAATCAATACATTTTTTTTCTTTCTTTAGTGTGAATAATATGATGGTACCTAATCATTCATGCGTGAATCATAAACCAATCGCAAATGGTGTTGTTGATAAATAACGTCTAGGATTTGTTTTTTTTATTACGAAAAAATTTATGTAGGGGAACGATCTATTTTGAATAATTCAAATTTTTATTTTTCAATATAAGTACATTGCTGATCTGAAATTGTCAATATTTAAATCAATAAAATATTTGATCTAATTTGGTGATTTGTAATATTCAACTCAATAAATCTTCAAATAAAATATTCTTACAATGACACATGTTGTTGAATATTTGTATAGAAGTTTGACTTTTTATCAGTTTTATTTTGCACTTTCAGATTTATCCATTGGTATTTTTTTGAAGTTTTGGATAATTTATTTTGGTTTATTGTATTGAGAGCTATGTTTTTATGATTATATCAACTTATTGTGGAACTCACATATATTTTCGAAGAAAATAGTGAGTGAAATTTTTTAATGAACCTTTTGCATCGCTCTTTCCTCCCCTCTTCCAGAGTTTCTTAGCCATGGAAAAGGTGCTAAACGATATTAACGACAAGACATAGGCTGTTCTAAAGAGTTCTAGAACATTTCAAAATTTTCTTCGAAATTTCGATGGCCGGAATCCGTTTGTGAATATTTTCAATAGTGAAGTTTTTGATTTTTGCACATATAAAAAATTTTATTCAAGATGCCAAGAGTTATAGGTAGTCATGCATTGATTTGTCATAGTCGTCCTATGATCAAGTTATAACTTTGGAAAATAATCAATAGTAGCATTTCTAAGTTTATCGAGATATACAATAGTGCGTCGAGACCTACTATTGCATGTGAGAATCGACGAATTTTTAAGATTCTGAATCTTTAGAATACCATTGGAATCTTGGAAATTCCAGAAATACGCTGAAGCCATGACTGTTTCCCATGCAAACTAAAAAGATTTAAGTCATATATTTTATAATAAGACATATCCCATTGTGTATACCAAAGACGAAATAATAATCAATTACGTAGTGGGCTTCACAAATGACTAGAGCTTCTAATTCTAATTGGAAACATAATGATGAAATGTCGATTAAAAAAATCGAAAACTGAAAATGATGAAACATCAAACTTTAATGAACCTAAAATGAACATTACATGTACTTTCTCTTCAAGTATAAACAAAGCGGAAAGCAATAATACGTATAATCTACAATTATCATTCAAAACGTCTCTGAGCTGAGCGTATTAACACATTATGCATGTCTTTCTATTTCATATGAACCAATCTTAAGTAACTGAACAAACATCTTATGCTGGAGAATTTATAACTTATGTTGCCTGGGAGACTTACTTTCGCCTTACGATGATGCTATTTATAATGTAGTCAAGGAAGTTGCCGACTTTTCAAAAACAGAATTTTTCATATCTTATGAGTATTGGTCGTTTATAATGGAAGGTGTGTGTAAGGGCGCAGATGTGGATATTAGTGTGAGTTTAGATAATCTCTTCGCACATTCACACACTCAAGAGTGCAGGGATAAAAAATGAAAAAGAATCCTCGATCGGTAGGAATATTAGCATCAAACTAGGTAAGTGATAATAGAATAAAACGACATTTTTTTTAGATTTAATTTTCGAATTTTCAACTATTTGAAATCTTATTTTATTCAATATTTTGTCTTTTCGAGATTCGAAAACACAATGAAATGACTTCATTAAAATAAGAATTTTTAAAATTATCAGAAGTATATTCATAAAAAAGTATGGATGGAGAATCCGCCTATAGATTGGAGCAGTGCTCCCAAAAAAAAGCGACCTGTCAGACAAAATCGGAAAAACTTAAGAAAAATTTCATGCATCAAAATATATCAGTCAACTATTGAAGGAGAAAGCTTGTTTGCCTTTTAGTCTTGATATATTGTCAATAGAAGAGCAATGATTTCTATCCTAATTTTATTATTCGATAAAATTTGCCGTGATTTTCTGTTTGCTCCACGAAAGATTCGGTAGATTTTGCTTCTCTGATAATAAGAGTATTTTTGAATGCACTTGCTTACATTTCTTCATAGTTGAAGATGAAAGTTGTCATGAATAATATATAGAATATCTTCATTCGAAGAAATTCGCATTTATGATATCATAAAAGCAGCATTCACCTATAGATATTTCTTGTAAAAAGTACGCCATAAAGAACGAATCCATGTCTATTGTACATATTTGTCGATTGAGCTCCAACATAATTGGACAACCTCGTTCTTCTTTTTAAAGGTTTCCTTGTTGAAGTCTTTTTCACAGTACATATTTCACATCATTCAAATAATCACGATTATTTTTTACAATACAACCAAATTAATTCGTTTATGATAACTAATGTTCAAAAATACATTTTTTTTCAATGGTTTTTTGCATAATTTTATTGAGTTCTTAAAATAGTATTTGTTATTTATTGTTGTACTTCATTTTGTCATTGTAATTGATCTATATGTTGCTATTGTTCTTCATTTATTAAAAATGCAACGAATTGGAATGGTGCTGGATCAGCACGATTGTTATTTAAGTTTTCATCCTAAGGAAAGAAAAGATAAAGATAGGATTTCAAATTGAAAGTAAAGGTGCGTTAGAAACAGTGCTTTTTGAATCATAATGAATCAAAAACAGCGATTATTAATGTACTGTTAATGCACGAAAAAGTATTTTGTTTTTAGCTATTTAGGCGTTTCGTGCAAACAAAAACTGAAGACAGCGTAGCTAGCTATACCTGCATGTACATTCGTTGCATTATGTGAAGACATTATGAAAAAACAATTATATAGGAAAGATCTAATGGACAATAATTTCGAGGTGTTATAGCATTAGATAAAGAAATCTCCAGATCATTCATGAAAGACACTCCATAAAAGAATCGCATATTTTGAACATATCTTGACATACAAATCTTCGATTTCGGCTGAAGTTATCCTCTAAAATGTCTAGTTAGCAAAATCTTTTTCAGAAAAGAACATATTTATCTCAGTGAACTGTTTTCTACTGATAAATTATCGCACATGGACAAAGTCTATCGTAAGAAGCTAAAAACTAACCATTCAGATAGTAGACCTCATTCCATCCAGATTTTGTTGAGTTCTAAACATTTTAGGTAAACCTTTTCTGTTATGGTTACTCCAAATATCAAAAAACCTATTGAACGAGTTTTATTCTGGGCCCAAAACGTTTGTTTTCAATGGACTACTCTGAAATGGATACTGACACTTTTTGATAGTCGAAACCTAATCAAAAGAGAATCATGAAATTTTTCGATAGCCTACCACATCCGACAGCTAAGCTGAGTGAATCTACCACTCTTCAGCTATATCCTGCATGAATCCTTCGATGGAATTTCTATTACAATTGATCACGAGGGGAAACCAGAAATTAAAAGATAGTATCTCGGAATATAAGGAAGTAACATGAATTATTAGGAACTAACAGGTATTATTAAGGACTAGAAGAGATTACTAGACACTACTAGAGATTATTAGAGACTATCAGGGGCGGTAAAGGATTATAATGGACTACCAGAGACTATTAGGGGTTACAGAGTACCACAAGAAATCATCAGAGATTACAAGCTTGTACCAGCTCTACGTCTGTTAACTTGTGTGAGGGCGTAGGCATACCCACACCCTTTTTAGACCCTTGTTGCTTGTAGCCACTGGTAATCCCTAGTAGTCACTGGTGAACCTAAAGTATTTGTTTCAAATTATTTTATATGCTCTCTGAGCTTTTTTGCAATCTATCAGGATCATTTAATGGCAAATCTCAACGCACTCTAATTTCCGACTGTCGAATGCTGTTAAGAGGATTTGATAGTATGTGTCAGTCAAATATTGTCGGATTCGACGAAATTGGATAGTATTATAATATCTAGTTTTAATTCTTTTGTAATGACTAGACAACACTTCAAATTATTTTTTGTTATGAGTTTTTTACAACTACACAAAGTGGTTTTTCACTAACACATTTAGAGTATTCATTGTCCTAAAAGACTGTTTACAGTGGCAAACTGGAGTCCCGCAACTCGACCTAACCCGAAGGCCAGCCAATTCGGGTCGGATCGGATTCGGGTTCTAAAAGCTGAATCTGCGTAGAACTCTATAACATGCACAGCGATTTAACTCAACGAACAATAAGTCGAATTATTTTTAAGTTTTTTTATTGAAGATTATATTGCAGATGCACGTTAATGATCATGAAATTTTTCCTATTTTATCTTTTAATTTAGACTGAATTATGATATGAAGTCAAACAAAAGTGAATCTAAATTATTTATTTTATTTCTTTTTATGTTAAATTGCAATATGGCATGAGCGGAACGAATGGTAAAGTTTTTCAATCCTTTTTGTTAGATCAGATTATGTTACAGTTAGATCTTTGATAGTTCTCGATCAAAGAACTGGTTGTAGCAACTCGGTTTGTTTTGACAACTGAAACAAGTATTGAATAGAATATCTAGATTACTATTATTGATAGAAGACTATCATTTGGAAAGAACTAGTCACGAGATTCTCATAGGATTGAGAGCCGTCACCGACCTTATCATGAAATGAAAGCATTCAAAAGATAGTATAAATTATTTAGTTTCATTTTAGATTATATTATGCAATTGATTTAACACACAGTAAATTATTTCTTTAATATTATATTATTACTTCACATTATAGATACGACATGAATTCAAGCACAAGTAAATTATAAATTTTCGTCAACAATTTTTCTGTTTATTTTAAAAATTACTATTAAACAACTGAATGAAATAAGTTAAAGCATAGAACATTTAAAGTTTTATTTTTTTACCTAAGTGGACGAGAGAAAAGCAGTAGAGTTTGGATTATAATAAGGAAAGGGAGAGGATCCCAAGACACATCTAATGTCCAGATGTAAAGTTAACGTTCTCTCATAGAACTTGACATTCGACAAATTTCTATTGGAATCCTATGTTAAAAGTTCTGTTCAGATAACACTATATATACTAAATTTGTGACTTATTGGTAGTAATTTTCAGGTCATGGACGTAGACAAAAAGCATTAATATAGAAGATCTTGCAAAAGCCCTATGGGCGAGTATTCTATAGCAAATAGCGAAGAATTTATAGCTAAAATTCATGTTTTTTTTCTACAATTACGATCCAAAGCTATCAATTATAATTATAGCCTTAGCTTTGTAAGTTACACTAGATATATCTTTATGCTTCAGTTTTTAGTCAACGTCACAACCAAGTATGTGGAACTGAAACCACAAATGTAGAGGAATTCGACAAACTCTAGGAATATCCTAAGGTATCATGCTCTGGGTTCTATAGTGAAAAGTCGTAGTTTTCACTACATTTTTGGTCTACAACTCATCATTTATGATCACCGAGCTCTACATTCATGCTTGTCATTCTCTATGTGCATGATTCCCATTATTATATATAGAGTTTTATCGCACTGTGTTGCGTACAATACAATATTTTTTAGTAGTAGAACCATAAATGTAGAGGAAATGTCAAAAACGGTGAATTTTTTTCGTTGGACATTGCTGAAAATGGGTACCTTTATGACGAAAATAAGAAAGTAGCACACAATCAATTTTAAACAGGATACGATCAAATTTGTCGTTTCTAAATCTATTAGTTTAATTTGTTTCGTTCAGACATTATTTTCGAATCTTTCAAAGATTTATTCGTATATTCTCTTAAGTTATGAGTCTCACAAAAATTTCGATCATATAGTCGGAAAGATCACAACCCATTTTAAAAAAAAAGTCATGTGAAAAGTCGATCATAATCACGAACGGCCAAAATAATCAATGTTTGATATCTTTGATTTTTTTTAATGATAATCGATTTTTAATTGGTTAAAAATTAACTTTTCTGGGACTTTTACATATTTTTTTATTGGAAACTTCTGTTTCTACCCTATTGCTTCAAATTTTCTACTGACTCCACTATAATTCGTCAAAAAAAATGAAGAAAACATGTTGTCCAAAGATTTGAGCATCTTCTATTAATTTAATTGTATTGTATTGTAAAATATCATAGAGATTATTAGAATGATGCGAAAAATGTAGTATGGCAGAGAACTCAACAGAAAATCTTTTTAACCAAGAAGAGATCTTGCTCGATTATGTTGAAATTGAATCGAAAAAAAAATCAAATACAAATATATCTATTTCTAATGACTTACTGGTGAAATCTTCCCATAAAAATTATTTAATACATACTCAAATATTTTCTTTATTGTATTTAATATTTCCTACTATTCAATTATGATTATAAAAATACGCAAACAATTGGAAATACAGTAAAAGTGTTTTTTTAATATAAAAATAACTGTAAAGGTGATTTTGAACGGATAAAGAATTCAGTAAAAGAAATGACATATGGTAAAATAATCAAAACCAATTTTTTTTTGTTCAACGACAAAGCACATGTGAAAGATCGTTTTTCGTTCTCTTCTTTTCTTTGTTTGTTTATGTTGGAGTGAAATCCAGTAGGACTTCAATATGATTTCTTCCATACAGAATTCAGCATTGCCAGAGCGAAAAAAAAAGAAGAAAAAGAACACATTGAAAGAAAACCTTCTCGTTGGTTCGATATGAAAAAAAAAAGATTTCTTTTTTCTTAAAGTTGAGAGTAAAACGAAAAAAAAAGCTTCTTTGGTATGATTATTTAAAATTAACTCATGAAGAATTATCTATTATCAAAGTCTTGTTATATGTTTCGATTTAATGATGATGATTTTCGTCGTTTTCTATCAAGAGTTACAATTACTAAATTTATTGTATTTGTTTTTGGAATTGTTATTGCATTATTTATTATTTATTATTTATTATTTCGTGAAAATCAACCAAAACCAATATTTATATTTATAAATAAGAATTCTTCATATGAACGAAAAGATCTTTATGTACAATCTATTGTAGCTAATGATAAATTAATTCCAGATTATATAACTAAAATATCCGATAAAGCTCAATTACCAACAACATGTTTAGTTATTATTCGTACAGCTGATGGAGGTATTGGAAATCGAATGTTTTTATTTGCTAGTGCTTATGGTTTTGCTCGTCTTCATCAATGTGATCTTTATGTTGCTTCATGGATTGTAAAAGATCTTCGTTCGATATTTACTATTAATTTAAATGATACACCCGTACATTTAATAAAAAATGATTCAGTTCTTAATCAAACTGGAATATATGGACGATATAGTGCATGTACTTTATATAATGATTTGTTAAAAGTTCCATTAAATCAAAATTTAACTCGATATGAAATGATTGGATTTTATCAATCATTTGGATATTTTATTAAGTATAAAGAAGAAATATCATATTTATATCAATTTAATCAAGCCGCAATTGTGAGAAATGTGGCATTAGTTGAACAACTTCTTCAAGGTTTGATTTCTTTGATAAGAATTAATCTCACGAAATCTAGCAAAAATAAATAGTCAACAAAATGTTAAATTAAATTATATCAATCTGTTAAAGTCGAGGCTAACTAGAAAAATCTCCTAAATGATTAATTGCTTTGAAGTCTGAACTGCATGCGTCACAGAGATCCTAATGAGTTATGAATACGTTGAAAAGAGTTCAGACCTTTAGATTATTGCTGATAAGAAACCGAATTTTTACGTTTTTTTTAAAGTCAATATCCCACCCATATCCCAATCAAGAACATCAAATCTACTGGGAATATATGAACTGTGTAATAGACAAGCCTTTGTCATAACTATGTCTTAGGATAAGAACAACAAAATGATCTGAAAATTTCATAATAAACTACACTCTGTGAGCCCAGTCTCTATGAACAGTTTCAATTAGAAATTCGAAAATGAGTTTTCCTAATGTTCCTGACGGGACCATAACATTAACTAAAAAAAAATACCCTAAAAATGTAGTATGTTGTTAGGAATAATCTAAGAGAGCTAACTGTTTTCGGTGCATTCTTAGTTCATTAGGATCTGCATCTGTATGAAACACATAGTGTCGACTCAAATATAATAAATCAGCTAGAAAATTACCCTCATGAATAATTCAATTTTAGATTGAGTCAACAATCGAATCAGCATTATAATAAACGTTTTCTATCGTTCAATCAAATAGATTGAGAATTGTTGCGAAAGATTACCAATAACCTGTGTTTGCCGTAGAAAGGAAAATTCTAAAGACAAGGAAAAGTTGAATAACTTTGTACGTTGTACTTGTCATAATATACTAAAAGTCAGTCGATGCTTTTCTACTAACGATACAATATACTTAATACATTAATTTCTATCTGAACCCTTTCGAATATTAGGTTAATGGTTTTAAGGTGAACAAGAATTTTGAATTTGACTTTTTAATTATATATCTTAAGAAACAATTACTACGTAGTACGGTTTGTTTTTAATTTTAATTCGGATAAAAAGAGATCAACATGTTTGTAGATACACAGTGAAAAAGTAAAGAACAAAATTTATACAGATATATTAACTATTTTATTCGGAATGTAAATGATTTAATTTATAGATTGATTGATGAAGGATCTAATATCGCACATTTCTTTAATGTATCTAAGGTACATGATGAATCAATATTTAAGTTACATAGGAATTGACAAGAAAAACTGTGTTTTCTCGATATGAATAATTTGTATTGAAATGATGAAAACTTACCATTCACTTGTTATGATTATTTTAACGCAAAACAATGATTCATACTTTTTAAATTTTCACTATTCAATACCACTATCTCACATGGTTGTTAACCAAAATCATAATTATGCAGACTTATAAGCATACACATGCAAGATTGAAAGTATAAATCTATATTATTTCATTTACAAAGGCAGAAATTTGATATTTTCAATATCAGATGCCTCATATGTTAGGAAAATATATCAGAGATGTCCATCACGGCGCTGCCGCTTCCGCGGTAGCAGTTAGCGGTGCGGGAGATTTTTTAGCAATACAGTCGCGACAGCACCTTATTTCTGGAAGACATTGCAAAAACTGCATGAATTTGTACAAAAATTGAGTGTCCACAGACGTAACACTAAGACTCAATGAATCTCATCGATTAATGATAAGAATTGTATTTCAATACATTCACAGCAATGAAATTCGAAACTTTTTTCGAGTACCATCGCAGTAGCAGCACACTTTTTGGAAATTCATCGCGGCGCAGGAGAAAAATTTTTTTTTTACAATCATCGCGACGCGGCAGCGCCGCTGCAGATTTTCTTTCCAATCTCCGCGACACGGCAGCTGCAGATTTCGAGCCGCGATGGACATCTCTGAAATATACTCTCATTAGAACTAGTCGTATAAAAAAAAAGAACTCGCTATAAAAATCTTTCAATTAAGAAAAACAAAAATCAAATCTCATTTTCCTTTTCAGTTGTTTGGAATATTCCATTAAATCTCGGTAATTATACGAAAGATAATGTGACTCATCATTATTTGAAATCTCTCTTAACTCGTCCACCAACTCCATTAATACCTGTAACATGGATTGGAATTCATATACGTCGTGGTGATTTTTTAACATTTTTTAAAATTGATACAAGTATTGGATATTTAAATTTTGCAATGAATTATTATCGTCGAAAATATATTAATTGTCGTTTCTTAATAGCTAGTGATGATAAAACTTATGCTAAAACACATCTAGGAAATAACTCGGATGTTTTTATAACTCCAACATCTTTTCATTCAGGAGAAGATTTAGCTGCATTAGTTTTATGTGAACACACAATTGTTACAGCAGGTAGTTTTGGTTGGTGGGCAGGATGGCTAGCTGGTGGAAATGTTATTCATGATCTTAATTATCCTGTATCATGGCAAAATTGTATACGAGAACATTATTTTCCACCTTGGTTTCTTTTTCCACATAATACTTCCAGTCAATTATGAAAATTATCAATTTCTAATAAATTAATATTTTGATTAAATTTTTGTTGTTTTATTCAATTCTTTTTTTAAATAAAACATCTTGATAAAAATTCTCCTTAAATATCTATTTTTGTTTTATTTTTGCTTTATGTTATTTTTTTTTTCTCTTCGAGTAATAATGAATAATGAGAACAAAAAAAAAAAAAAAAGAAATAGAGACAGAGCTAAGAACGACTACAAATCGACTACAAAATAGAGAGCAAAATGCGAATATGTACAAACGCGTAACGAAGAAACAGTAAAAAATGTTAATTAAGTAGATGCTGTCGATGTGGATGTTGCATTTGTTTTAGATGACGAATCAGGTGCTAATGTACGAATAAGACTTGCAGCCATTTCAAAAAATTCCATTACTTCTGACACAGGTTCTTCTGTTGACGATGCCATTGCATTATCATTATCTCCAAGTTCCCAATTTATTGAACGATTTGGTTCAAGATTTTCCATTTCACTATCATCAACAAGAACTTCTACAAACAAAAAATTTAATGAAATCAAATAAAAAAAGAAAAAGGAAAAACTAAACAAACCAGGTTGAGCAGAAAGTATTGGATGATGATCGTCTATATTTGAATTTAAATTGCGAAAATCTAATAAATATGATCTATGATCAACTTGATATAATTGAAGACCCAATTTAACCTAATAAGATAAAAAGAAATTAGTTAGATAAGTAAAAGAAAGGTAAAATAGGCACTGGTGGTTCAGTGGTAGAATGCTCGCCTGCCACGCGGGCGACCCGGGTCCGATTCCCGGCTAGTGCACTCTTTATTATTTTTTTATCTGTTGTCACTTACATATCGATCAGTGTTTGGAACTTTACGCCGTGTTCGAAGACTATACATACTATTATTACAAAACTTCCACTCCTAGATTTATAAGAATTTAATAAAAAAATGATTTAAAATATAATAAGAAATAAAACTGACCATTCCTAATTCTTTCATTGCTTTAAATACTTCATTCATAATATCTTGTGGTTTTGATTGAGATCTAATACCTAAATGCCATTTAGCTTTTTTTAAAGATGCTGCACCTGATCCAGTGGCTCCTGTTGTTGAACTTGAAGCTTTTTGATTATGAGATGTATTTTGATGAGAAGTATTTGTATTATTGGAAGAAGAATTATTTGTGACATTAATTGTATCGATTGGATCTAATGTTACACTTAAATCTTTTAAAGCTAAATTATAGAAAAAAAAAAAAACTAAAGTCTTATATCAATATAAAAGAAGAAATTGTTTAATTAACCTGGCATTTTTTCTGGATGTGGCCGAATTGGAGATGATTTCTATTTTGAAAAGAAGAAAAGAAAATGTGTAAGAAAAATTTTTATAATCTTATTTTAATTAGAAGCCAAAACGGATATATAAGATAATGGAAGGATATAGTAAATAGATTTTGAGAAAAATCAATATAACAAGCCATAAACTTGCGTCATTTATATGCAAAAATTTACAACCTGTGTTAAATAAACTGGCTTCTGAAACTACACAAAAGAAAATAATAATAAACAAACTATTCTCAAATGTCAATAGAGGAAAAAGGCATAAATAGTTATAGTTATCGATACAATACATATATCAGAAGAAAATACATAATCACAAAAGATAACTCACAAATGGTGATGGAGCACGAGCTGATGATGAATTTGGCTAGAATTTTTTTTTATTTTTTACGTTTTTATTTATTAAATAAATATTCAATTTACCGTCATAGATAAAAATGCTGAATGAGGTGGACTTGATGCAGAAAAAAAATCAGCTATTTCAACTTTTCGAGCTAAAAAAATAAAATTTGTTTTAATAAAAATAAATTTCCTATAATTAATGAAAAGAAGAATAGTCAAACCTTCGTTCCATATTCGTTTATTATCAATTATTAAATGATAAGCAATAACTAATTGATCATGGCGATCATTGATTAACAATGCTTCTTGAACTTCAGCTTCATTTACACCAAATTTCTTTTATTTAATTATTTAGAGAAAATCAAATTTATTGTTTTTAATCTACCTCACAAACTTCTTGTATAGCATCAAGATCAACTATATTTGTACTATCTTCACCTGTTTTTGGAAATAAATAATCAGGTAAATTTACTTTAAACCATTCATGTTCTCTAAAATATTAAGAATAGTAAGAAAAAAAAACAACATAATTAAATTGAATTACTTAATATCTTTTATTGTTGCACGACGAACAGGATCAACAGTAAGCATTTTTTGTAGAAGATCAACTACTGATGGATTCAAATAATCAGGAATAGGAAATATTCCAGCTACAATAAAACGAAGTATTACAATTAAATATTTAATAAATATTCATTATCTAACTGCAAAACTTTCATATTATTATCAATTCACGTATATGCTGTCGGCTATACAAGAGATCATTCTATCTAGTTTTAAAGGTTTTAAAAGATAATAAATTAATTTTTTTTTCAATTATATAATCGAGATAAAACCAATTAGAGAGACATACGATTATGTGTTTTGTAGAATCAAACTCAGCCAAAAATTATCATAGGTTAAATTATGAAAAAAAAAAAACATTTGAATTAACAAGCCTTCGAACGCAACTCATCCAATCTCAGTTCTAAGCTAGAAAAGATATCTACAGTACTTTAGAGATCTTGTTACATTTTTTTTCACAATAATTCTATATTCGAAAAAAAGCAAAATCGTTAGTCCCTCGATCTTTTAAAATAATAGCAATACGTTAAACTTTGTACTAGTAAACATCTCTACGCAGTGAGTGCTTTTCAATATTCCTATGATGTTCATAATAGAGAGATTTTCACTAAAATTGAAAAAATCAGATAAATTTACTGTATTAATTTCTCTTGATTGAACAAAGATAAACATAATTTTTTCCGAAAAAAAACACCATATCGTTCTAATTTTATGCCGTTTAGCTCATTATTTCCCATAGAAAATTCTTCAATTTCCATAAAACTAAATATCTCTGTTTTAATCTACTGAACACTATTACTCAACCACAATAGTTAAGAACTTCAAAATTTCTGTAATCGTGACTATCAGCTAATGCTGATTGTTCAACAAATTTCGGCATCATTTTCGAGATATTTTACTAAATTGTAGCCATGATTCTCCTCTATAGACGAAATAAAATTGAAGTATTAGTTTATGTTGAAGTTTGAGGCTCTCTTTCAAAACTCAGCTGAGGAATGTTATTTTCATTTCAAAATTACAACAAATATCCTAAAATCTCTTTCAATTATTTATACAATTTATGATGGTTAAATTTTATAGGATTTCAGAAATCGATTAAAAACAAACACCTACTATCAACACATATAGTAATTAGCATAACTCTTCGCCTCCATTCGATCTCAGCCACTGTATGTGTTGCAGACCTGAAAATTTGTGTGCCCGCACTCCACCGAAAATGTAGATCATTGGGATTGCAGCGCTATCATTACTTGATTATAAAGGGAGTTATAATGAATGTGACACTTAGTTTTGTTATCAACTTCATCACTCTAGAAAGGAAGAATATTCCATGTCAGCTGACTTCTCAATATGTAATGCTACGTTCCAACTATCTGCATTATTAATTTCATTGAAGTTTATCAATCCTGTAAAATACTATACTCATTATTGTCGAGAAAAATCATCTACTGTCCTGTGAAGGTCAATACCACAGTGATAAGTTCAATGAAACGAGTTTAAACTTTTTGAGAAGTTTCCTCTATAATGAGGCAAGTATCAGAAGTAAATCTTGAACTAAAGAAAAATGAAACATAACAACCCAACGTTTTTTAGACACTTCTTTTTAGATTACAATGCTCAAAGCACAAAAGCAGATGCGATTCATAATAACTCTCTCTGTAATTAATCAATAATGTCGATGCAATGCAAAGGACCTACACTTTTGATAAAGCGCATATTCACAAATTTTCATATCTCCAGCAAGTATACTTGTCGAGATCGACTGGGACCGAGACTTTTGTTTACTACTATACATGCAAGCAAAACTAATAGCATATTTAAGATCACCTGACAAAATTACATCGTTACATTTCGATATCTTTATTGTGTTCGCAAGTAATTCGAAAAAGAAAGAAACTAAAAAACAAAATTTGCACTGGATTTTCTGTACGGTGATACTCAAAAAGTTAACAAAGAATTATAAATATACTATTGATCAGTAGCGTAATCGTTCAAAAATATGAATCTACATGGATAATTTATAAATTCTATATATCGGAAACGTCTTGTATTATTATCTAAAATGCCTAATACGTTTAGCATAAAAGAAAGATTATCACCAAGAAAAAGTAAAAAAAATCAATATGCATAGATTCTATTGTTTTCTTTCACTGTTCATGTTTTTCATCTAAGATTTATTTTTTTCTCATTTATTCTATGAATAAATATTTCATATTAAACTTACATCGAATTTTTTTAAATAATACCTGAACATTGTCATCGTCAAACGGTAACTTAAAAAAAGACAAACAAAAACATAAATACATACATACACATTAAATAGAAAACTTACAGTTCCTGTTAATAAAGCATAAAGAATAACACCACAACTCCAAATATCAACTTCTTGTCCAGCATAAAGTCTATATAAATATGAAAAATAAAATACTATAAAATCAGTATATCATCCAGAACAATGACTAACTCTCCAGAGACAACTTCAGGAGCAGCATAATTAGGTGAACCGCACGATGTTTTTAGTAATTCTCCATCTTTCATTATATTTGACAAGCCTAAGATAAATAGATTGTTTTTTTTTTCAATAATAACAAATAATGAGTGACCCATAATAAAGAATACCACTGTGAATTTCATATTTTGATTTCTAAACACATTTTATTGAAGAAAAAAAAAACAAAGTTCACCACAAGATGCAGCGTGAAAAGTTCTACAAAGTAAAGCCTATTTTAATTGTGTACTTATGATCTTCAAAATAAACAAAAAAGCTTGTTAGCGCAGCTCCTGCGGAGCTGAAATGTGGAACTCACATATACCTTTAGCTTTGTTACCTGATGCATCATCTGTATAGTGAAAGACTTCTCGTCAACTATAGTTGTTTTCCTTGAGAATCGATGAAAAGAGCGGGAATTTATTATTTATTTGTATATTAAAAAAATATATTAAAAAAGAAAATATTGCTCTTTCATTTAAGCGCGCTCGATTTCATTTATAATTATTGCTATATACTCGATAATAATCTTTTTTTTTTGTTTTCTAATTTGAAGTTATTTTTCTCCACCATCGACTATTTGATGAATACGGTTGTTGCAGTCTGTAATGAGGGGGNTTCTTGTTGAGGTCAATAGTGATATTTTGCAAAGGTTCCCACTAACCTTGTCCGTATGGATTTGAAATGTGAACATGCCTCTATCCTTGGTAAAAAAATGAGCCCGTTTGGTCGAGTTGTAATGAAGATATTCAACTTTTTCTTTGTGGAGTTACTTACTGGACACCCTATATATAGAAATATAGGAAATTTCAAGTACTATCAGACTATATAAATACTTTTTCAAAAAAACCTATTTCTAAAGTGATAAAAAATTTACAAAAAAACTAATTGCGATGAAAGTGATCTAATCCGGTTTCTGCTAATCTAATGTGAAGAATATCTTCATTGCAGTCGATTTATTTCCTAGTACATTAGTATAAATAAAAACAAAAATATACAGAATAATAAAAAGAAAAAAAAAAGCCTCCGAGCGCTTTCAAAATATCTAATTGTTTGTTAAAGATATGTTTTTATGTTTATAATATACTGAAAGTACCGACTGTAGCTTTTTTTTTCCAGAATTTTATATATATATATATATATATATATATATATGTGTGTGTGTGTGTATTTGCACATATATAATTAATTTCTATTTAAATACGCCAATCGAATTGATTTGATGGATGAGATGCATGTGCTAATGTATCTCCTGATAAATAATCTCGTTCATGTTGGAATGTTTGATGTTGTCCTGAATGTTGTTGATTACCACTAGCCATTTGTTGATAAGTATAAGGATCAACTTTAACCATTGGTAAACGAATTAATTCAACTTCAATAAGAGTACGTGGTTTACCATATGAAACAACAATATTATGTGGAGGTGGTGGAGTTTGAATGGCTTCAGGTGGTAATGACTGTTTAATAATACGTTTTGGTGCTGGTTTAAATGGTAACCATTGTTCAACAACAATAGGACCTTTGAAAAAATAAATAAATAAATTTTTAATTTTAAACAATAATTAACATACATACGTGGTTTCGGTGGTAAATCGGGATAACGATGAATGATTACCTAAGAAATATAATTTAAAATTTTTAGTTGATTAATAAAAAATAATACCTGTTGTGGTGGTTGTTTTGGTGGTGGAACATATTTATTGTAAATAATTGGTTGATCAGGTTCAGTTGGAGGAGGTTGTGGTGGTGTACTTTTAATGACAATAGGTGAAGGTGTTCGAGGTTCACGTTGACCAACACGAACGTGTATTGGTAGTTTTTGTATTTGTGGTTTAAGTAAAACTTCTTGAACTTGAACTTCAATTGGTTGTGGAGTAGGTGGTTGTAATTGACGTAAATAAACTTTTTGTTTGTATACTTGATCAGTACTTTCACGTTCTTCAATAATTGGATTTGGATCTAAATTAAATTCTGTTGTTTGTTCATCTAAATTGGTTGACTAATCGAAATGAGAAAAAAAGAAAAAATTTTTTTTTGTTTTTTTTTTTTTTTTTTTTTATTAATCAAAAAAGAAATTTTAATAAGAATTTTCTTACCTGTCCTGATAATAAATGATCGTTTAAATCATCTTCATTAGTCAAATCTTGTTGGCGTCGATGAGCATCAGTTCTTGCTGTTGCTTCAGAATGAGAATGATATTGTCGAAAAGCAGATACATTTCGATAAAGACGAGAACTATTCGATGGTCTTGTATCAATTTTTATTTCAGTTTCAGATAAATCAGTTTGTTGTTCATCATCTTTTCTAAGTTTACTTAAAACATTGGTAACATAATTTTTAATAGAACCTTTTGTTGTTTCTACATTTGATGATTTATTTTGTTGATTGTCTGAAGATGATGATGATGTATCATAGTTGAAATCTGGTGATGAAAGTTCAGTATGAGTTGCCTTTTTAGCCATTGTTTGACGATATATATATATTAAAAAGGTTATAAGTCGTGTTATAGTTACGTATAGTTTTGTGAGTAAAGTAATATATGACTGTTAGAAAATCCTTGTCATTGATATATACAAGGAGAGAATGAAACAGATAGTGACGCATCCATATTGTGACCTTCATACCATGTTTCATTTTTCTCTTATTCTTCATTGACGTTTATGATTACATTATTTAATATTCATTCAAGCGTAAACTATCAATCAAAGAGTATTTTGTTAATAGTAAATATTTCTTCGAGATTTGTTGATTTGATCAATTTAATGAAGAAAATTGAGTTTACAGTAATATTGTAATTTAATGAATTGATTGATTGAAATATGTTTGTCTTATGGTTGAATGATTTATCAAAGAACAATTTACTTGTATAATCATTAAAAGAACGGTTTATTCAAGTAGTTGTAATAGAAAGATTTTTTTTGTTAAAATAAATCGACTATTTCTTTATCAGATAAAATTTAAAAAAGATTTAATCGTTTTTACAACTGAAAGAATTACAACAATCAATTGTACAGATTTTCGAAAAATATTTTCGTATCATATTTGATATTTTAAGTAAAAAATTCAATATTCAAATGAATATTTTTGTCAAAATTTATTTTTAAAATAAAATATTATAGATAATATTATCTATGATTTATGATAAATCTATGATTAATAGATTTTATTTTATATATATATATATATATATATATGTATTTATTGTTTTTATTTCTTGTCATTTCTCATTAAAGGTAAACATGTATATTTATTTACTAATTGACTATTTGCTTTTATTTACTTCACAATCAGATAAGATCTATAAAAATAACACGTTAAATTTATATTTTAACAAATTTTTTAACGTGTTTAATCACGTTCAAAATATCATTGTACATTAAACTGTATAAAATTTTTCTACAATGAATTGTTTTTACCCATTTTTACGGCAAATTTTACGAGTTTTATCATGTTGAAAGATAGAAAAGTCTATGAACATGAAGAGATCAGCTAAGAAAGAATTTTAGCGCATGTTTTCTTGAATGCATTTCACTACATTCAAGGATAATTCGCTATTTTCTATTTTTGAAAAGTAAATCAACGTATTTTGAACGGATTTGTCTGTTAGAATTTATTAAAATGTTGAATTTTGTAGTCCGATAACTTATGTTTATAATAATATATTTCTATTTGTAGACTGATTTGAGTGTTTGTTAGAATAACAAGTCAGTTTTTTACCAATTATAAAAAAAAATATTATTATTAAAAGACATGCGACTAGTTTTTCCTTTNACTGCTGTAAATATTTATTTCGATAATAATAATAATAATAATAATTTGCAAGTTTCTAAAATTAGTGAATTTGATTTCCTGTCATACATGGGCGGGCCGGCATAGGGGCGAGAGGGGGGCAATTGCCCCCCGTAAAAAATTTTTTTTGGCTGGGACTTAAGAAGAACGCCATGAAAACAAGTGTTTTTAGGCGAAAAAGTGCTTATTGCCCCCCCTGAAAATTATGGTCCGGCCCGCCAATGCTTGTGTCATTTTGTAGACGAGTATTTGATCTATCTTTTCCATAGTTTATATATATATAGGTTTCTGTGGAACTTTATAAAATTACGATGTGTTCTTTGAAAGATTGACACTGATGAAACTCTGAATTTGCAAGAATTCTGAGTATGTCTTAGCGAATATATAAAGTAGTCCTATACCTATATAATGGTGAAAAGTGCATCGCTCTAGCTCTTTTCGTTCTTGAGTTATTCGAAAACTATCCACGGCCATTTAATTTTTGAACGGGCATTAGTTTCGTTGTTATTGTCTCGAAAAGAATGATTTGTCTGACATGATAGGATAAGTAATGAAATTCAAATTTAATATCTAAATTGTTTTTTTTTTCTTTTATTTCAAAGTATATATGTTGTCAAATATATATGTTAAAATTCTTTTTCTAGTTATGTTCTTTCATTTTCAGAACGAGTGAAACCTTAAAGAACTACACATGAATTATTTTGCTATTGACACAAAGATGTAAAGAAGCAGAAAAGGAAAAAAAATAAAATGAAAATGAAAAAAAAAGGCATCGACAGCATTTTTTCTTATTGGTTCTATAACATCCAACATTTTAAAAAAAATTCTAAAAGAACTGAAGAGAAAAAAATGTCATTCATCATAAATAATAAGCAAGAAGAATTTTAATTGTTCAATGTATAAAGAATTATTGTATAAATTAGATAATTTACAGAATTTTAGCAATGATTATATTGTTTATTTTCGATCTCGCGTGACGCATAGAAGATTAATTTTATTTATAATTGGTTTAATTATTTTCTTAATAATTTATCAATTTTGTCTTAATCGAAGTCAATTATCAAATTCTTGGTCATCAAATTCAAAAATTTATTATTCTTCATTTAGAAATTTAGTTCTTAATAATAATAATAATAGTAAAAAACTACATGATAAAGCTCAAGGACCATTAACATGTTTAATAATAATACGTACAGCTGATGGAGCTCTTGGAAATCGAATGTTTTTATTTGCTAGTGCTTATGGTTTAGCACGTCTTCATCAATGTCAACTATATATAGGAGCATGGATTTTAACTGATCTTCGATCAGTATTTCTTATACAAATAAATCAAACAAAAGTTCAATTAACAACAGATGATTCTCTTGTTATTAATCGAACTGATATATATGGACGATATAGTGCTTGTACTTTATATAGTGATTTATTTAAAATTCCATTTAATTCAACTTTTAATCGATATGAAATGATTGGATTTTATCAAGCATATGGATATTTTGAAAAATATAAAGAAGAAATAGCATTTTTATTTCAATTTAATCAAGGAGCTATTATTAGAAATGTATTATTAGTTGAACAACTTCTTAAAGGTAACAATTATTTATTTTTATTTTAAAATCAATACTTTTCAAATATTCAAATAATATTTTTATTTATTTTCTGATAATTATTAATAAGAATTTATTTTAATAATTTTATATTTATTAGTTTCTTTTTTACGTTAAATCTACATAGAAATTTATTTGTAAGACTACAGAAACAAATTTATCTATTTTTCATTTTATGAACATTCAAAGAACTATAAAAATGGTTTATTAAAAAAAAACAAAATTTGAATTTAACTTAATTAAATCGATATGAATATAGTCAAATGACAATTAAAACAACTTTTTTTTGTAGATTCCTTTGTTTAGTATATCAAATATAGTTTAATATCGTTTTTTTTAAATTTATCATAAAGAAAAGACATCGAAAAGATATTTATTTCATCAGAAAATTGTAACATATTTAATTAGACGAGACAAAAAAATAAATTCTTCGAATATGAACTCTGATTTATCTATAAATTTTCTAAGAATAAAACCTAAAATTTAAGTTTTAGTATTGATAATACATGTATATATATAATTGAAAAGAGGTAAGATTTATAATGATAAATTTTGATTTATTAATTTTGTTTTTGTTTTTGTTTTTGTTTCTATGAGATAAATACGATTAAAAACATTTAATGAAATAATTAAAATTTATTAATTTTCAGCTGTTTGGAATATTTCATTGAATTTGGGTAATTATACAAAAGATAATGTTACACATCGATATTTAAAATCTCTTCTTGTAAATCCTCGAGTTCCATTAATATCTGTAACTTGGATTGGAATTCATATTCGTCGTAGTGATTTTTTAACATTTTTTCGAATCGATACAAGTATTGAATATCTTACTTGGGCAATGAATTATTATAGAAGAAAATATATTAATTGTCGATTTTTAATTGCAAGTGATGATAAAAATTTTGTTAAAAATAATTTTGGAAATATTTCTGATATATTTATAACACCAACAGGATTTTTTTCAGGTGAAGATTTAGCTGCATTAGCTTTATGTGAACATACAATAGCTACAGCTGGAACTTATAGTTGGTGGGCAGGTTGGTTAGCTGGTGGAAATGTTATTCATGATCTTAATTATCCAGTAGCATTTCAAAATTGTGTTAAAGAACATTATTTTCCACCTTGGTTTCTTTTTCCACATAATAGTTCAAGTTTACAATGGAAACCACCAACTTAAAACAAATAGATTTTTTTTTTTTTTTTTTTTTTTTTTTTTTTTTTGTTTTAAATAAAATGTAAAATTTTTTTATAATTACAGTTGANTTTATATCTCATTCTTAGTGTGAGATAGAATAATCTTAGTTATATAGTATTTATAATGCATAAAAGATGCTGGAGTCTAGTACTTCTGGTAACTCTTTTCTTTTTTTTTTGTTTTGTTTAGTTTAAAATAAAATGTAAAATTCTTTAATAATAACAGTCGATGTTTCTCATTCTTTTCAAATTTTCATCTTAGAAAAAAAGTAAATTTTTGTTTTTCAATGAATGACTAAATAGATTTATTTTTATTTTGCTTATTTCAATATTTAATTGATCTTGAAAAAGAAAAAGAATTCACTTGATAAATATTGATGAATAAAATTTTTGTTGATCATTCTTTTTATTCTATTAGAAAAATCTTAACACAAAATGAATTCTGTTTAATTAATCAAAATTTACTTTATTGATATATATTGATATTTTCTATACTACAAATAAATTTATTAGAATTATGTTTCATTAATCAATTATCATATTTAATATTTATAAATTCTATTCATATTTATAGCTTATTAAAAACTTTTCTTTCTATTCACTCAAAGTTCGATCAAAAATTTATCGATTTTGACAAATTAAAACAATTATTATGTAAGAAAAATATATAACTTAGTTATACAACATTTTATCACTCAAATCATTTCTAATATTGAAAGACACATAGTTGTGACGATGAAAACAAGTTTGCTTACATATATACATATATCCTTGAATTATTCTAGATTCGAGACCAATAAGAAATTCACATTTACTCTCTCACAGCTCAAGTTAAATCATTTGCGGACATATATCAATCAATTACAACA